TGAGTATACATCTCATTTTAATCATGTTTGAATATACATCTCATTTTATTCATGTTTGTGAGTATACATCTCATTTTAATAATGTTTGAGTATACATCTCATTTTAATAATGTTTGAGTATACATCTCATTTTATTCATGTTTGTGAGTATACATCTCATTTTAATAATGTTTGAGTATACATCTCATTTTAATAATGTTTGAGTATACATCTCATTTTAATAATGTTTGAGTATACATCTCATTTTAATAATGTTTGAGTATACATGTCATTTTAATAATGTTTGAGTATACATCTCATTTTAATAATGTTTGAGTATACATGTCATTTTAATAATGTTTGAGTATACTTCTCATTTTAATAATGTTTGAGTATACTTTTCATTTAAAAATGTTTGAGTATACATCTCATTTTAATAATGTTTAAGTATACATCTCATTTTAATCATGTTTGAGTATACATCTCATTTTAATAATGTTTGAGTATACATCTCATTTTAAATCATGTTTGAGTATACATCTCATTTTAATCATGTTTGAGTATACATCTCATTTTAATAATGTTTGAGTATACATGTCATTTTAATCATGTTTGTGAGTATACATCTCATTTTAATAATGTTTGAGTATACATGTCATTTTAATAATGTTTGAGTATACTTCTCATTTTAATAATGTTAGAGTATACATGTAATTTTAATCATGTTTGAGTATACATCTCATTTTAATAATGTTTGAGTATACTTCTCATTTTAATAATGTTTGAGTATACATGTCATTTTAATAATGTTTGAGTATACTTCTCATTTTAATAATGTTTGAGTATACTTTTCATTTAAAAATGTTTGAGTATACATCTCATTTTAATAATGTTTGAGTATACATCTCATTTTAATCATGTTTAAGTATACATCTCATTTTAATCATGTTTGAGTATACATCTCATTTTAATAATGTTTTGAGTATACATCTCATTTTAATCATGTTTGAGTATACATGTCATTTTAATAATGTTTGAGTATACTTCTCATTTTAATAATGTTTGAGTATACATGTCATTTTAATCATGTTTGTGAGTATACATCTCATTTTAATAATGTTTGAGTATACATGTCATTTTAATAATGTTTGAGTATACTTCTCATTTTAATAATGTTAGAGTATACATGTAATTTTAATCATGTTTGAGTATACATCTCATTTTAATAATGTTTGAGTATACTTCTCATTTTAATAATGTTTGAGTATACATCTCATTTTAATAATGTTTGAGTATACTTCTCATTTTAATAATGATTGAGTATACATCTCATTTTAATCATGTTTGAATATACATCTCATTTTATTCATGTTTGTGAGTATACATCTCATTTTAATAATGTTTGAGTATACATCTCATTTTAATAATGTTTGAGTATACATGTCATTTTAATAATGTTTGAGTATACTTCTCATTTTAATAATGTTTGAGTATACTTTTCATTTAAAAATGTTTGAGTATACATCTCATTTTAATAATGTTTGAGTATAAATCTCATTTTAATCATGTTTAAGTATACATCTCATTTTAATCATGTTTGAGTATACATCTCATTTTAATAATGTTTGAGTATACATCTCATTTTAATCATGTTTGAGTATACATCTCATTTTAATAATGTTTGAGTATACATGTCATTTTAATAATGTTTGAGTATACTTCTCATTTTAATAAAATTACAGCTTTTTATTGAGGTAATGCGCAAGGTTGGTGCGCTTTCTTTTTGTTTTCATTTGCTAAATTGTATTACACGGGAGCGAGCAGGAATCGCACAGGAATGCGGACCATGGTGTGGACTGAATAAAGTATACAGACAAATCATGGATTGGCTGCACACAAAACCATGTGATGAAATGAATCTGAGCTGACATAGATGAATGTGTTCAAAAAGTGCTCTGCAATCATTTGAAAAGCATGAAAATCCCAGGCCTTTCATTTCATAGGCTAAATATTCAATGCATTTTTTTCTACACAGCTTTAACCAAACGGGATTTGACCTACAGTTGCAAGAAAAAGTATGTGAACCCCTTGGGATTATGTGGAGTTTTGCATGAATTGGGCATAAAATGTGCTCTGAACGTCATCTAAGTCACAACAATAGAAGAACACAGTCTGCTGAACATAATACTACACAAACATTAGATGTTGCCATGGTTTAATTGCACATAACATGTAAACATTCACAGTGTAGGGAGGAAAAAGTATGTGAACCTTTGGACTTAATAACTGGTTGACCCTCCTTTGGCAGCAATAACCTCAACCAAATGTTTCCTGTAGTTACAGATCAGACCTGCACAACGATCTGGAGTAATTTTGGACCACTCCTCTTCACAACACTGTTTCAGTGTAGCAATATTCTTGGGATGTCTGGTGTGAATCGCTCTCTTAAGGTCATGCCACAGCATTTCAATCGGGTTGAGGTCAGGACTCTGACTGGGCCACTCCAGAAGGCGTATTCTGTGCTGTTGCAGCCATTGTTTTGTTGAATTACTTGTATGCTTTGGGTCATTGTCCTGTTGCATCACCCATCCTCTGCGGAGCTTCAGTTGGCAGACAGATGGTCGTACGTTTTCCTGCAAAATGTCTTGATAAACTCTGGAATTCATTTTCCCATCAATGACAACAATCCGTCCAGGCCCTGAGGCAGCAAAGCAGCCCCAAACCATCATGCTCCCTCCGCCATGTTTTACAGTGGGGATGAGGTTTTGATGTTGGTGTGCTGTGCCTTTTTTTCTCCACACATAGTGTTGTGTGTTCTTCCCAAACAACTCAATCTTGGTTTCATCTGTCCACAGTATATTTTGCCAGTAGTGCTGTGGAACATCCAGGTGCTCTTTTGCAAACTTCAAACGTGCTGCAATATTCTTTTTGGACAGCAATGGCTTCCTCCGTGGTGTCCTCCCATGTACTCCATTCTTGTTTAATGTTTTCCTTATTGTAGACGTGTCAACAAAAATGTTAGCATGTGCCAGAGATTTCTGTAGGTCTTTAGCTGACACTCTGGGATTCTTCTTTACCTCAGCATTCTGCGCTGTGCTCTTGCAGTCATTTTTACAGGACGACCATGCCTAGGGAGAGTAGCAACAGTGCTAAACTTTCTCCATTTGTAGACAGTCTGTCTTACCGTGGACACATGAACATCAAGGCTTTTGGAGATACTTTTGTAACCCTTTCCAGCTTCGTGCAAGTCAACAATTCTTGATCGTAGGTCTTCTGAGAGCTCTTTTCTGCGAGGCATGGTTCACATCAGACAGTGCTTCTTGAAACCAGTAAACCCAAAAGAGGTGTGTGTTTTTTAAGGGCAGGACAGCCGTCAGCAACACATCCAATATCATCACACTGATTGGAGTCAAGGTTGGCTCACTCCTGGCTCCAATTAGCTCTGGGAGAAGTCATTAAGCTAGGGCCTCACATACTTTTTCCTCCCTGCACTGTGAATGTTTACATGTTACGTGCAATTAAACCATGGCAACATCTAATGTTTGTGTAGTATTATGTTCAGCAGACTGTGTTCTTCTATTGTTGTGACTTAGATGACGTTCAGAGCACATTTTATGCCCAATTCATGCAAAACTCCACGTAATCCCAAGGGGGTTCACATACTTTTTCTTGCAACTGTATTTGTCTGGTGCAATTTTATCATGGCACTTCGATGAAGCGTCCAGGCATTGTATGTACTATTTGCCGGCCATTAAGAAAAAGCGCAGTAATTATCAGTGCTGGTGGCAGTGGCGGCTATTGTTTACATACTCACGGTAGAGAGATGATTCTGAGCATTTATGCGCACGATGCTCAGATTCATTTTCCGCATTTATGATTCATATTCCCTGTGGGATCTTGTTTTTAAACTTGGCGTGATTGCAGTAAGTGATCGTGCATTTCGGTTACTATAATCAGCGCTCCCCCGATAAAATGTGTACTTTCGTCTCTGACTATTTATACGTTTCCTCGGGGTAATAGTTACCTATAACCTTTTCAGAGTAAACATGAATCTAAACACGGCATTTATGAATTTAAAGGGGATCTCCCACAGGAGCTGCTGCATTGTGATATTAACACGTTTCTGTTTATTTTATCAAAAAAATTAAAGCCCTTCATCTGCAAGTCACCTACTTTATATTTAAAGCTGAATGCTGGGATTCTTGAAAAGTTCACCCTTGCAACGCCCCCCCCCTTCTCCAGGGGTTAAATGCTTGATAAAGTGGTTGTAAACCCTTATATATACCATCTTAAAATGTTTTACACAGCATTCCTTAGCTTCAGAAGGCAGGGAGCAGGGATGTCCCTGGCAGGGAGCTGAGTGTAATCTGAAATCTGAGTGGAAGGAATAGACTTCCCCCCCTACACAGTCTCAAAGGGAAACATGTACAGCTGATGTTGTCAATCACCTGTTGTGTGCTGGAGATGAGTTGGTGGCTGGGGGTGGGGTTTTCGGCAGTGCTATCTCCTGGGATTGCTGAGTGTTGGCATAGGCTGTCAGAAGTGACGCATGCAGATTTCAAAGGAAGAAGGAGAGAGCAGACAGAAATCACACAAGGTGCTAAAGATAAATGCCAGTACACATTATAGAAGGATAGGCTTTATCCATTTTTGATTTCAGAGGTTTACAATCACTTTAAGTTTAAGCAGAGGGTTAAGCTGTAATACTTACCGTATACTTCACTTCAGAGACTTAGACACTCTCCTCTTCTCTCTGACACTCCTCGCTGTCCTAATTCAGTACTATGGGCCCTGCATTATACTTGATGAGGTCACCATGTGACTGTTGGATGGAGGGTCTTAGGGAAGAGGCTTCAGTGGACCAGTCAAACAGAGGGAGTCAGCCAGCGAGAACGAGGAAAAATGTTGAATTTTACACTTCCTCTACCTATAGACTTCACAAGCATTCAACCCTTGCTGTTAGGGGGCTCCATTGTAAGGGTATCTTTATGTCTGCAGTGGGGCTTTAAAGTGTTAGTATACCCAGGACCCTGCATTCACTATATCTGGTCTCCCCGGAACCTGCATTCACTATATCCGGTCTCCCCGGACCCTGCATTCACTATATCTGGTCTCCCAGGACCCTGCATTCACTATATCCGGTCTCCCAGGACCCTGCATTCACTAAATCTGGTCTCCCTGGACCCTGCATTTACTATATCTGGTCTCCCACAGTACGCAGAACATGGAAATACAATTATTTTAGGAAATATAAACTGCTAAATACCTTTTCCCATCAGCAGTTGGAGCAGTCTTGTGACTTCTCTCAGTATCCAGCAGAGCACTGGTTAAAGCTTGTAGGAGGAGTTTTCTTTCTAGGAGGATGCAGGATCCCTGACCTCTGTCTGGACAGTGCTGATTGGCCCTGTGCTGATCACATGCACTCTCCCCACCCCCCCCAAAAAACAACTCCCTAACAATAAACACCAAACTGAGCATGTGCAAAGTGTCTCCACACCATATGTCTTATCAGGAGATAAGAGGGGGACACTGGAAAAAGGGTAGGATCAGAGAAGTCAAGATCAAACAGCATTTTTACACAATGCAGCGGATTAACCCCTTATTTTCCTCAGTGAGGTCCATAGTGAGTATAACAAGCATGCTTTATTGCATATACAGACTGATTTTTCTGTTGTGGGTTTAGTAACATTTTAAAGTCCTTGCACATTACAAGCATCTTCTAGAGGGAATCCAGACTTAGGGATCTATTTATAAAACATTTGTTGTACGACTGTTAGAAGATTTGTGCAAGCTGAATTAGATTTCCCTATATCTTTGTAAAGATCAATTCCTGCATTGTCAGCTCCATCTAGTGGCCACAATTCTGTATAGATTTCTGAATTATCTCAATGAGAAAATATACTGCATTTTGGCTTCTGTATGGAGCTGATATAGGGATTATTCTATTAGTAGAAATACAGGGAAATGTTGTTCAGTTTGTATGAATTCTTCTAACATTCATCCAACAAATGTTTTATAAATAAACCCTTATGTGCGTATTTAGCTGCTAAAATGTGTGCTACTTGTAATGTGAACAGCTTTCAGGTAGCAATAGTAACACAAACAAAACAAAAGAGGTCAGCAACCCCTTCAAAACATAAAAAGCTCTGGTAGGGGTACTACCATGCTAAAATCTGTTGCAGTCACTACTTCCTACAATAAATATTCCAAAGCTAATGAATAGCTTGTTCTTCTACTGGTTCTCCTGTGTATGGAGTGGTTGTGACTAAGTTCAGGATGAAAAAACTATCATAAAACTGTGTATTACATGCTGTTCATACTCACTCAGGTTCTATGAGATTCACTTTTTGTATTCTGCAAAAAATCTAATTGATCCTGCTGTTCTCTATCTCCCACTTCTGTCCATGTCCCCAAGGCAGTTGATGGTTTTTCACAGCAGTGTTGGCAGCCACTGCACATGCTCAGTTTTAAGTTAGTTTCTATGCTGAGCATTTCCTCCCTATCTCATCTGAGCAGCCCATGTGACTATAGAGTCACACATGTTGGTGTATACAAAGTGGTAAATGACAGCCTGCTCCCTCCCTCCTCCTCTATGCTCACCAACCAGCTAAACACAATGGGGATGGGATGTTAGATGTAGATTGATGGAGGCCTCACCTCTTTTATATACTAAGATACATGCTGGAGGGTGTGTGACACAGCCTGTGACTGGCAGAAATCCAATCACACCAGGCCAAAAAAAAAAAAAAAAAAATATTTGATTTCAAATATATATTTGTATGACAATTTTAAACACTGACTCCACTGACTCCAATCGGGCTCCGATTATAACTCAGCGCAACAAATATCCCTTTCACACAATAGGCTCAGGCATGCATGACAGGGGTAAAGAGAAAGACCTCCATAGTGTAATACCGCTTTATTAATGAAAAAACGCCAAATAAATGGACACTCACATTAAAATCCTATTAGTACAGCAGGTTCCCATGTGCTATGGGTATACTAGGGGACTCGGGTGTACGCACTTCCGGTTTTGACGCCATCTTGGTACACCCGAGTCCCCTAGTACACCCATAGCATAGCATTGCTGTTCTAAGCACATGTCACTCTATATTATTTAAAAGATTGGAGTCTCACGTTTTACTTATTGCTTATTAATGTATATTTATTCACCTATATTTATGTGTATATACACTGATTTGTTGCATTTGCATAGAGCTTCACCATTTTTTTGTTATAAAAGATGGCTTCAGCTCCAGTTCTCCATCAGTGGAGAACTCCTCAGGTGAGTTTCACACTTTTTAGGGCTTAATCCTAGAAGCTGCTGGAAGTACTTAAAAACGGAGGCATTAATATCACTTTAACCTCTTCACGCTGGCCGCACACAAATGTGCGGCCTCCCGGGGTCTGGGCCTAGACACCGAGCGGCTGCACATTTGCGTGCAAGTAACAAAAAACGCGCTGAAAGCGCGCACCCTGCACCCTCCCAGCACACATGGCCGGTACTCACGGAAAGGTCCCGGTCTGCTCTTTTGATCGGGACCTTTCCCCGATCATGTGACCGCCGTGATGACGCGTCACGGCGGTCACATGACCCCTAAAACCCGCCCATCCCGCCTCCCGGCTTCTGAAACTCTTAAAGGGCCCGGAGGCGCCGGCGGGAAGGGGTAAAAGTCCAACTGAACTTTCCGTTTGAATCAGTTAATTACACTCCAAGTGCATCAAAACAAAATGTGTTACAGTTCATTTTCTTTAGAAAGCTGCCACATCCTGAGTAGAAAAGCCAGTTCCCTTACAGAAAGCTGCAGACAAGGATCATTGCCCTCTGTGTGGAAGCAGTGGTCTCTCTGCAGAGAAACATACCTTGTTCTTGCCCCTTTGTACAGATTTTATGGTTATTTTAAACTTATGCTGTAGGGAATGTAGATATTATAGATAATAAGGAACTCTTTGTCTCTCTCTATTTTTTTTCTTTATAGAATATTTTAAGAGTACACTTTCTCCAGTCATGTTGCTGGATGATTTATCCAAAACAAACCCCCTGCACAGACTCCCCCAAGTTATCTGTATGGCAGCACTCATCTGCATCATTGCCTGCTGGAAGGTCACTATCACGCATACTGCATTCATCAAGAAGTGAATACAAATTTTAATAAATACGTAAATTATTGTATCGGTGTTTTGTGTTCAAGGTCCCCTTGAAACACACATGAATCTTACATGGTCATGGCTAGCATCTTTTAAAGGCTAATGAATGTATATTTGATGTTATCACTCTACAATATGTGAACCCCAGCAGATAATACCTGATACTAAGAATTCTAATTAAAATATCCTCCTGTCTGTAATCCTCCTTTTCTATTTTGCATTGTATTTTATTGGTAAAAACCATAAAGGACAACTTCACCTTGTGGTAAAAATCAAAAAAAACATTGCCGAGTATTTCTTAAAGCTGAATTTCAAGAATTCAGCAACTTTGTAAAAAGTGCAGGCACTTCATGAGTTAAGCCCTACTAGCTGCCTGCCACATCATGGGCTTATCTTTATTATTTATATCCACAGGTTTATGACTGGAGAATATGCTCTTGAGTTTGTGAGAGAGAAGAGAAGCACAGAGCAGCTATGCCCGCCCCTCTCCTCCCCTTTGCTACCCATTCACAGAAGCCTTTGTATTATGTGAATGAGTTCAAACAATACAAAGGCTTCTGTGATTGGGCAGGAGGGGGGGAGGGGGCAGGCATAGTAGCTGCACTGACTCTACACTTGAAGGGGCTGAGTGCAGCATCAGAGCTCCAGAAGCTATGTTGCTGGACCACAATAAACCTGTTGGATATAATAATAGAGATAAGCCCAGGAGATGGCAAACACCTCGTTGGATTTAACTCAGAGTGTCTTCACTTTTTACAAAGTTGCTTAATTGCTTGAATTCAGATTTAAAAAAAAACAACTATGGCTGTTATACCCATTTTCTTCCTGGTGCTGTTAGCCGGCTAGTCTTCTGGGCTGAATGATGACCTGCATCAGCCAATCAACTTTCTGTGAGCCCTGGCTGTCAACAATACACTCTATAGGCCCATCATCATATAGACTGACTCACAGTACTCTTGTACAAAATGGTGCTAAAATATTATTACATGAGCAATTCAGTCCAGGAGGAAGGATTGCTGCTGAGGAGTAAAGACGAAGTCACTGGCCCAACCTGAAGAATGCATAAGGCCTCGTGCACACTGGACAATTAAAACTGCTACATGAGATCCAAGCACTTACAGTAGGTGCGGGTGAAAGGCTCAGTCTAGCCCCGATGCCAACAGCCTGTTAAACTCTTGTAACATTAAACTTGTAGGAGTTGCTGGGTTTTGGATCCCTCTATAGTCCTGCACAACATGGCAACATGCATTTTCCACACAGACTTGCATCCAGGAGACAGTAACCAGTCCTTAAGCTTGTTTTTTGGATTAGGGGGATTTGAACTTGGATGGGGTAAGGAGTGTATAGGATGCCCAAGGGATCGGCGACTGAGGACAATCTTCCAAGAACTATGTACAAGTCTCTTTAACAGCAAAAAGTTCCTCTTTTGGAGAGCTAGCCAGCATCTCCTGGTGTACCACTCCAGATGCTCCTCTATCCAGCTGTACTGGGTGAATCCTTGGGCAGGAGATCCAGTGCCGATCACTTTAAATTTAAGGACAGTCCCGGGTAGGAAGCTAATCCAGTTTCCCAATAGAGTGCTCCTTCCCCTTTTTGGGCCAGAGGGTGTAGGTCTACTCGCTCAGTCTTCTGTCTGTGAGCTGATGGGTTGGTGGCTGCTCTCAGGTCTCTTGCTAGGCCGCTCCTTCCCTGCTGCACAGATGGTCCTCACTCTGGGGGCCGATGAGGTCCAGAGTTTTCCTCCTTTCCAGAGCCACTGCTTGTAGGTGAGCCTCTTCCCATTTGGGCCCCCTCCTAGCAGGGCCGGTGCTAGGCTATTTTGCACCCTAGGCAAGACCAGCTACTTGTGCCCTCCCTTTTAAAAATAAACATTTTTAAAAACAGTAAAACATAATAAATCAACAAAACATAAAACTGCAAAATTTCTTTTAATTTGCAAAAATAAGTGCCATAAGATGGCACCAATATTGAAGACAAAATCAGTGTCATGGACAGACTGTACCTGTGACTCGCAGTGGCAGGGTGACAGTTGCAGTGAACAGAGGATGATGGATCCACACTCTGACAAATGCCAGGCTGGAATTTCCCAGGTCCAAAGAACAAAAGGTATACCACTCAGGCAAACAATCCAGATCCATCCACAACAGGTGCAGGCTCTGGCTCGCCACCACACACGACGCAATAGGAAAAAGGGTCAGCCACACACCAGAGGATAGATGAATATAGTGTGTATTTATTGATCCATAGGACACACAAAACACCAGTACATGAATACAGGACCTGTTAACGCGTTTCACACGATCTTGTGCTTAATCATAACCAAATGATTATGATTATGCATGAGATCATGTGAAATTCATGTCCTGGTGTTTT